CAGAAGGAAGGCTTGTCCTATCACTAAGCCACGGTTGTCTACGGGTTAGCCTCTTTGCAAAAAAAAAGGATGAGATGGAAAATGTTCAGTAGTTGTGGAATTACTCACCTTACGCAGCAGCCAGGCGCTCACCTATTAGCGGTGGTCCTTGGCAGGGACTTCTGTCTACGTGGGGAGGGGATGAGTAAAGGGAAGGGAGAATAAAAACAGAGAGCCTCATGCGGTTTGCTCAAGTAGAAGTTTCAGATCTAATCAGGCCGCTCAGGACGCCCCAGCAAAGACTGCTGATGGCTGGGGTTTTATTAGCCTACACGACGGAGGGCAAAGTCTCGTTTTCAGTCTAGAACAATGTGTTAAAAGCAGTTGTTTCAGTCTCTGTCAATGGTACGCACGGGGGTTGGGGTGGGGGGGAGGAGGGTGGAGGATGATAAGCATTCTACCATTACACTTAAATTGTGGTCCGAGGACCAGCCCTGTCAGCATCACTGGAGAGCCTGCCAGGTATGCAGACCCTCAGGCCCCCAACCCCAGCCAGAAACTGCACGGTAACAAGATCCCCGGGCGAGTTCTATGCACACTGCAGTTTGAAAAGCACAGCTCTGGTGGGTGTCGACAGGACCCGATTCACATGGGTGACTTACCTGTCTGAGCACACTTCGAGAAAAGCTGAACAAATAAGACTCATGAGCCCTAGGTGTTAAATATCAAAAATCAGAGTTGAATTTTGTTTGCGGCCAGAGGCCAGGCCCCCTGATCTTGTTTGACTAATCAGCAACGTTGTGTTTATGGCAGGACAGGGGTCTGCTTTCTGTGACTTGAGGTGCCTCCCTGCCCTGGAGGGAACGGTTTCCATGGTGACAGTTCCAAGCAGGGACCTCCTCCTACTTTTTTTCTTCCTTATTAACAGAGCAGAGATTGAAAAGGGGACTTTATTTAAAATTTTTTTAGATTTCCATCGTGTCCTTTTTTTTTTTTTTTTTTACTTGATATCATGTTATCGCCGTGTGTTTTTCAAGGGAAAAGGTCTGTGCAGAAAAGTGTGGTTTCCTTTACGGATGAGCCAAGCATTCCTCCTGGGTAAACTCAGATTGGCACTGCTGACAAATGTCAGGGTCAGACCACACTGGCCTGAGCCTTCTTTTGGAAGAATACCTCTGTTTGGGGTTTATCCTGTTGTACGTCACTAGATCTTCAAGTGGGAAACGTTTTGGTCAGTCGAGTTGCTAACCATCATGATAACATGTATGGAATGGTCTTTCTCCTCCCCTAGGGTAGCCTTTTATTTTCAAATTACACAAAAATTGCTAATATATAGCGGTGACCATCACAGCAAGTACTTTTATGCGCAGTTCTTTTATAATGAGCTGCAAAGATTTTTTTTTTTGTCCGTTTTGATCTTTTCCACTCTCTGGGATGATCATGTATTACTTCTATAGTAGATAAAAATCCACTAATTTTTCTTTTATAAAAGTAATATTTAAAGCAAACAAACAAACCCTTTGAGTGATAAAACAATTTAAATGACAAGAGTTAAATCCAAGGCATTTCCCTCAATTCCGTGAAGAGCCCATCAACTTTTTAAAGATTTTTTTTTTCTATTGGGGAATTGGGGGATGGGAACAGACAAGTTGCTGTCATTTTGTTCTTCAGTCTAGTTGTGGAGGACGTTGCTTCACTGGCCCAAGTTGGCACCATCATTGCGCTCTTCCAGCATGAGGCAGATCAGTCGCCGGCTTCTGGACGGCCGCTCAAAGCGGCTGCTGGCCGCTCACTTGGGCTGCTGGCTACACACAGTAGCCCATGGCAACCCTCTGCAGCAGGGGCTGCAGCCTACGCCATCACTGGCGACTCACAGCAGCCCAGCTCCAGGTTGAGCTGTTGTTCAGCATCTTAGCTGTAGAGGGCAGTGTCACTGGCCCTTATATGTGGGATCCGAACCGGAGCCCTCTGGTGTCCCAAGCCAGTTCTCAACCAATGCGCCACTCAGCTGGCCCCCCATCAACTTTTTAGAAGCACCGTCCTCCAAGCCACGGTAAGCTCTTGCCTGGATTGTTCCAGTAACCCTATAACTGGTCTTGCTTCTTTCTCCCTTGCCCTCCCTTCAGTCTGTTCTCAACACAGCAGCCAGACCGTGCTTGCCTCTGCCCAGAACATCTCAGCTGTGTTCCATGGCTCTTGGAATAAAAGCCAAAGGTCTTATAGTGCCCCCAAGAAGCCCATTGCTTCCTCTCTCACGCCCCCATCCTGTGGTCTCCCTTGCATGGCGCAGGTCAGACAGGCCACACTCCTGCCCCAGGGCCTTTGCACTTGGTGACCCCTCAGGCTGGAACTATCTTCCCCAAGATACCTATGTAACTCTTCCCCAAACGTCCTTCAGGTCTTTGCTCATATGTCAGCTTCTTAGTGAGGCTTCCGTTGGCCGCCCTGTTTAAAATGTAACCCCTTCCCACACACATGCCTGACATGGTTTATATTTTGCTTAATATGTATGTTCATTGTCTGTCTTCTCCTAGATCTCAAAGATGTCACATCTTTGAGAAGAGAGGGTTTTGCCTCGTTGAGTGCATGTCCCTAGCACCTAGAACAATGGCCTGGCTTCTTCAAGGCACATACTGTTTGTTGAACGAATTTAGAGTCAAAGGGCCTTGTGGGACTTCTTTCTTACCAGTTTTGTTCGCATCCTCGTCACATAAAGGGACTGAAATGTTAGGAGAACATCTTTAAAATATTAACCACAGCTGTGAATTATTCAAGCAATTCTGCGTAGTAAGTTAGGAAATGCCAGTCGTTGATTTGTAAGGCAAACGGGAGAAGAGCGCGGTCACTATACACCAGGTCTCCTGTGCGCCAAGCCTGCAGAGCCGGGCCCTGGGGGGGCAGGAGTAGCTGCAGTAGATGGAGCCTTCGTCAGGGATCGCCACGCGTTCTCGCTGTCGGCCCCTGAGTGTGGCGGCATCCCCTGTCCTCCGAGGACTACTGCTTTGGAGGTATGTGCACGCTCACACCTGCGTGCATGCGTGTTTGTTTGCCAGTGTTGTCTCTTCAAGGACTTCCTTTGGCCACGATTTATGTTTTCCTTTTTGTTTATAGCGTTCCTTAGTAACCCACTGCCACAAGTCCTCGTGGCGGCGTTGCTCCCCAAATGCGTCTTGAACTTTGCACCGTTTCCCTTTTAGTAGCTTGAGATTTATTTTGACCATGGAAGTCTAGGAAACAGAAATGTTCCAGAAGTGAATGGAGACAGTGCCCATCTAATCGCTGGCACCCCAGGGGGTGGGGGAGCACATTCATTCACTCGGAAGCCATGTGGTCTGACTGGCAGCATTATTGCTGTTTGGGTGGAGGGATGCAACAGAATCTTACTAATAGCCCAAAGCCATCACTCATTCACTACAATATCTCGTGAATTCCTCTGTCGTGCAGCGTGTTAACAGAATGCGCATCCACCTCATGGAGTTTCTCGTAGCCTAGTGAGAGATCGGTGTAGATTAAACAGTCACAGAAATGGGGGATTATAAACAGTGTAAGTGCTACAACGGAGAAGATCAAGGCGCTCTGGGAGCTTTGTCCTCGGCTTGGGGTCATGTGACAGTTGAGCTAGGATCTGCAGGTTACTGGGCATGTGTGTGCTGTGTGTGTGTGTGTGTGTGTGTTGGGAGGGGGGAGCACCGTGTGTGCATTCATTTCTGGGCTGAGGAAACAAGGCGTGCAAAATCTCTGAGGTGTTGAGGGATCTTGTGCATTCAAGGGAGTGAGAGGACACCGGAGTGGCTCAAGTGTGAGGGTGACGAGGCGAGTGGTGCATGGAGAGGGCTGGAGAGGTCAGCAGGGCCGATGCAGGGCTGGAGAGCCAGATTTCGGGTATTTCTCATAAGACGATTACAGAGCATTCAAGGGGCTCCAGTAGGGCTTGAGCCATGGTCTGTTTTTTATTTTTAAAGGTTTGCTCTGGACACATTGTACACCATAGACTAGAAGAGAGAAAGAGTAGAAGCTGGGGAAACAGCTAGAAGTGTTTTGTGTTTGTCAAGGAGAAGGACAGTGGTAGCTCAGACCAGGAAAATGATGGTGGAGGAGATGGAACACCTGTCTGGAGGGAGTTGTCAGAGGACGATGGCCTCTCGATTTTGTCATTGCTCTAATATGCTCACTGAGCAGTCTCCTGTTGATTTGGCTTGATCTCTAACCTGCCTAGAAGGTGCCTCTACCTGGGATTTCAGGAAGTATTTGTTAACGAAATGAATACATTTGTCAGGCTGGATGGAGCAAGTACCCAGGCTGTCTGACGATTACATTTTTCCTTGTAAATGAATACATGGACAGTATGGCTTTATATAACCATCTCTTGTGAACCTTGTTGGCATGAGTGAGTTTTGATACATATGATTATTTCTGGAACCTTTGTGAAATATTTTGGAGCCAGCAGAGTTTGAGAGACAGAACCTAGAGACAGATCATGAATTCCCTGAGGTCATTGTCACCTGGTGGAGAGACTCTGAGCAGCCACCTTTCCTAGGCAACACCCTCTCTTTGGATGCTGATTTTCTATGATCTTTTAAATAATTTTTAAGTAAATCTATAATAGCTACATCCACCAAAGATAGCTACATCTATCTTTAGAAGAGTAATTATTTCACCCAGTGGGGGAAAGGTGCAGCCCACCTAAAAAAGAACTTCAGAGGTAGTTTGAAAAGGCACATTAAGTGCCGAGGGATTCAGAGTTAAGAATTGTTACCTTACGCATCTGACCTTTTACTATGGCATGTCGATTTCTTTAGAACCCATAAGGTATTTGTTTGCCAAATCTCGTATTACCTATACATATAGCGATAGTGTCGTAATGGTTCTATTTAGGAACTCAGGAAAGTTTGGCAGCTGAAACAATTGAGTTTAATGAAGCCCTTTTGGTATTCTTGAGTTCAGAAGAATATGAAACAATGATAACAAAACGTGTGGATTTGTGACTACTTAACTAACAATAGTTTCCTCATCTTTTGCAGGAGAAACAAATGGAAGAAACCAGAGGTACTTTTAATGGAATGGAGCAAACCACTGCACAGGTAACCGAAATTAGGAGGGGTTGGGTATACATTAGTTAAATGAGTTAATATTTGTGAAGTCCTCAGAAGAGGAACCTGGCACATAGTAAATACTATATAAGTATTTGCTATCATTAAGTTCTTTTAAATGTACCTGAGCCCCAAACAAACTAGTCACACAACCCAAAACTACCCAACGAAAACAAACCCTTTGCTCCTAAAGCAGGTGTGAACATCGTTGGTTGAGTTCTGGCAGGGTCTCGTGTGACCTGTGACACTGGCCTGAAAAACTTAAAATTCTTAACCTTTGAGCACCCTGAGCACTTGACCTCCCATTCATCTTTGTTTTTGAGCATTCATTCATGATGACCTTATAAGTGTCAGATCAGTTGCAATTCTGAAACAAAACAAGCTTCTTTAAAATTCTTGAAGAGATAGTTCCTTATCATGTGGGGACATGGCTCAGTTTCCAGATAGCTACTGAAATGGCTTATGGATAGTGACACTAGAGAGGAGGGCATGAAAAGCACAGTGCTCACCTTTTTTGGTGATGGTCAGTGGTAACTTGGAATAAGAAGTTTCAAACTGTTCACCCTGCCCAGGCACTAACTTCATGTCACAAAACTGTTGGTGTTACTGAGACCCACCGACAACATTCGATGAACACTCTTAAGAGCCCTGTTATGTGCCAAGCACCGTGATTGGCGTTGAGATGACAGCCCTGACTTCTGTTACACCATTTACAGAGTTGTTGTTTTTTGTTTTTTTTAAAATACTCTGTCGTTTTCTGTTTCGCCATGTTTTTCTCCCGGGATTGCGGAAGCGACTCTTGTAGCTGGTGGCGTTACTGATGGCATTATTAACTTAAGGGAGGCGGGCACTGGAGGTGCATTCAACACATCGGTGGTTTCCAAACCTTTTTGTTGCAACCCAAGGGAAGAAATCCGTGTTACGTTAGGACCCCGTGCCCACATTTGTACATGTGGATGTATGGTTTTCCCAAATAATACCTTTCCTATATGTGAATTGTGATAGAATTTTCTAGTCTATTGTATTCTACCACATGTTCTTTTTTCTCTTTTTTTAAAAATAGATTTAAAAAAATTTTTTTAAATTACATTTGATATACAGTATTGTATTAATTTCAGGTGTACAGCATAGTGATTAGACATTTATATGACTTAATGAGGTGATCCCCCAATAAGTCTAGTACCCATCTGATCCCTATACATAGTTGTCACAGCATTATTGACTATGTTCCCTATGCTGTGCTTCACATCCCTGTGACTGTTTCTCTCTCTTTTTAATGCTCCTCAAAACCTACAGAGTGCTCTTTATCACCGACGAGTCAGTTGTACTTTGATAAACTTGCAGTAGTTTTATGCTATGGTGGGTGCACACGCTTTCTTGCCCTCCTCTCCATTTGCTGTAGTCGTGTGCACAAGTTGCTTATGCTTAAGACCCCCTCAAACTTGCCTTTACATATTTCCTATGGGCAAACTCGCGCCTTCATTTGGTAGCTAAGACCCTGTTTCCATTTTCTCACACACCATTCACTCCTCACCTTTCTTTCTGTTTGAACTTTGACATGTCTCTCTTCACCAATAGCCAAGAATCATTGTATTTACCATTTTGAATGGAGTAGATAGATTCTTCTGTACCGTCAGATCTTGCATATTCAATATAATTTTCAAAAAAAGTAACACTTACTTTTCATTAATTCCCACGTTTGTTTAGATCCCCCGTATTCAATTTCTCAGAAACATACCTATTTCGATGGTCTGATCTCAGAATTAATGTCCTTACCCGGTCTACAGAATTATCATAATGGAGGAGGGGAGGGGTCGTCCATACCACCTTATCTTTTTGGTCAGTGTCATGGGCTGCAGATAGACGCCTGCTGGCCCAAATGCAGTGTTGCATTATTTTTCTGTCCCCGAAGCCTATCCTAACTGCCCTTTTTCAGGACCTTAAACTTTCATAGTACACAGGTAAGCATATATATTGGGATGCACTGAAATCACTCACCTAAGCTCCCCAAGCATTTTTACAATTTCCAGCTCAACGTTTAATGAACTGAAACAAATTCATACCATATCACCCATTCAAGGAGCTGATATCCAACGGGGGTAAAAGGGGGGGTAAAAGGGTGTCGTGATGAAATTTGATTCCTTCCTTTCACGTGTTCTTACTGGGGCTACAAAATGATCGTTTAGTAAAGCACCCAACAAGCCGGGATCCATTTCAAACTTTCAGAATTGATAGTTCACTTTTCCAAGAGAGTTAAGAACTTAAGTTTTAAACCGCGAAGGTGTGCAGCTTGGTTTGTTATATGAGAGATACACTTGGTTCACTAGTTATATAAGTCTAGTGCTGGAAAAAAAACCAAGAATCTAAACGCTGTTGTTTGTTTATTTGGAAGCCTTAATTAGAATACCATAGTGACTTCTGTGCAGTGCTTATTTGAGCAAAATTCTCATTGATTTCAGAGGCAAGTTTATAAAGGAAACATAATTATGCACATCTAAGAATACTCAGTGCATACAACACATTTTAAAGATTGTAATGTGCAAAAATGGTTCTTTTAAACAAAACCAAACTAATATTCACCTGTCTTCGAGGAATATTTCTAAGGTTTTATGTGCAGTAAATGAGACAGCATACCTTGGCTTTCTGTCCTTGTTTACTCCTAGTACACGGGACATGCCTGAAAACCAGGAGAAAAACACTGGAATGTGTATGTTAATCCCTTTAACCAACAATTTTGGGAGAATACAGGAGAGGGAGCTCAACCTGTATCCCTGCCTTGGCTCCCCTTCATCACAATTTGTCTCTTTTTCCCTCCATTTCAAAAAAATAAGCTAAGTATCATAGGACAAGATTGTACCGGCTTCAGAGAATGGCAGAACAGAAAGGGATGTTTTTAATGGTTTCAGGGGACAAATTATGGCAGAAAATCTGAACAGTATTTGGGAACATAAAATATTGTGTTTGAGTGTCATAACCCCAGACAAAATAAGCAACATGTATTTGTAAACATATTTCATACTCGTCCAATTTTACTGTCCATTTCCTTTATTCATTTTCCAAGAGGGGGAACTGAAGTGAAAATAGCTCAAGCTTTTATCAAGTCGCCTAGATTGATCGTGAAAAGTATGAGAAGTCACATGAGGTAGTGAAGCACTTAAACTTTTAAAAGTGTGAATAAAAAAATACGAAGACAACAAACAATACGTTTGTTTTTTTAAAAGAGATTTTTATTGGGGAGTTAGGGGATGGGAATAGTGCTGGGGAACTGGGGGAAGGGGAACAGACAAGTTGCTGTCGTTTTGTTCTTCAGTCTAGTTGAGGACGTCGCCTCACTGGCCCAAGTTGGCACCATCATTACGCTCTTCCCGGGTGAGGCAGATCAGTCGCCGGCTTCTGGACAGCCGCTCACTGCGGCTGCTGGCCACTCACGCT